TCTTATAGTGTATTATGAAATCATCCATATTGAAAAAGCACACATGAAGTCCTTAATTTGTAGTGTAATATTGAGGGTATTCTGAAGTAGCCATGAAAAGTATGGGTACTTAAGTATTAGAACTATTACATGTATGGAAAGCTTATCAGAGATTCAATCTATAAGAACATCTTTGCATCTCTATGCTATCTATGGGTAAACTCTCTGTAGGAAAATCACACATACCACTTTTCTTTGGGCCCTGATCAGCTAGCAACTTACAAGGTGGAGGTTGCACACTACTGCTAATTCCTTCAATATTAGTGCAAGCCCATGGATTTTGCTTGGAGTTTTTTGCTAAACCAATTGTTACATTGGACATGCAGATTCCAGTGAAAGGATCCCCGGATATCCCATCTAGCTGGCCAGCCATTGACACGTTCTCAGCCACCACATCCCGGTAATTGATTCCTTTTATCTCTGGTAAGGCTTTAGGATCCCAGTGAGTGTCAGCATGTGAACCATAGTTGCCTGTCATCCAAAATACCCATTTCATGGTGTGCAGTTTCATCCCCTTGACATATATATCTTTGACGTAGCCCCCTCGCCCCACACCAGTTTTGATCCTTATCCCTGATTCTGTCTGGATGGCTGTAATGTCTTGAATTCTCACATCTTGAATTCCACCTGACATTTCACTTCCTAATGCTACAGCTGCACTGTAAGGTGAAATGCAAGTGAGACGTTTGATGATCAAATGACTTGTTGGCTTTCCGTATTTTATACCATACTCATCCCAGCCACTTTTGACTGCTACACAATCATCTCCAGATACAATGTAGTTGTCCTCTAGTTTTATATTTGTGCAAGAATCTGAAAATTTAAAGAACAAGAAAAGTATACTAGATGAATCAACTTTTCCTAGATTTCTTTTATTAAAATGCTTTTAGAAAAGAAAAAAAACAGACCTGGGTCGATCCCATCAGTGTTTGGGGATGTAACAGGTGCTAAAATAGTGATGCCTTGGATAATGATATCGCTGAAATTTCACAAGCATGAAGATTGTGATAAACTTGAAAAGAGTAAATGATATGTTAAATAATGTAAGATTTGGCTGATAGATTCACCTGCTATAAACAGGATGAATATTCCAAGAAGGAGAGTTGAGAAGGGTTAGATTTGATATCTGAATTTTATTAGAATGCATGAGTTCAATCAAGTAAGGTCTTGTGTATTTTAGTTTGTTCATGTGAAATTGTTGCCACCAGAGAGCACCTTGTCCGTCTATTGTCCCATTCTCACCTAATCATGCAGAAAAGACAAGTATCTGTTTTAAACTGTTGAATAATAGAAAAAAAAATCATCATCTTCAAGGTGGATAGAAGTATTTGGTCTATAATAAGACTTTATAGTTACCTGTGATGATGACATCTGTGAGATTAGTACCAAAAATGAGACTGATGTACCTGCCTCCTGGTGCATCCCTCCCATGACCATAGGATGGTAGGGGGTCTATCACAGGCCACTGGTTTATCTCCTGAACCAATTAAAATCACACTCATTAATAGCAAGTATATTGATGAACTGCTTTAACTACAAAACCATGCCCATCTGTTAGGAGTGAATTAGATGATCGGGTTCACTCATTAATAGCAAGTATATTGATGAACTGCTTTAACTACAAAACCATGCCCATCTGTTAGGAGTGAATTAGATGATCGGGTTCACTCATTAATAGCAAGTATATTGATGAACTGCTTTAACTACAAAACCATGCCCATCTGTTAGGAGTGAATTAGATGATCGGGTTCACTCATTAATAGCAAGTATATTGATGAACTGCTTTAACTACAAAACCATGCCCATCTGTTAGGAGTGAATTGGATGATCGGGTTCACTCATTAATAGCAAGTATATTGATGAACTGCTTTAACTACAAAACCATGCCCATCTGTTAGGAGTGAATTGGCTGATCGGGTTGAGGGCTGCCCCTTATAAGGTTTTGTCCCGACCTTATCGCTTAATGCGACTAATGAAAGGTAGTCCCGTACATTATGCTCCCGCTATGCATGGGTCGGGAGAAGGGCCGGACTATTGTACACGGCCTTGCAATTTTTTTTGCAAGAGGTTGTTTCTACCGTCTGAACCTGTGTTCCTTGTGACATGAGACAATAACTTTATCAGTTACACCAAGGCTTCCCTTCTGTCAACTTTATCAGTCGCTTAATGCGATTGGTGGTTCAAAAGGTGAAACTATTAGTCGTAATTTGGGAACGTATATTCAGTAGGGCTCCTTTAGTTAGAGTAGGGGTCTCGAGAGAGCAAAGCTTACAGCTCCTGAGGCTCTTCAACATTTACTTTTTTCTTTTTCACATTAAAGTTCCTGTTTTAGCTGACAAAGTTTGAAATTCCAATGCAACAAGTAGATCAAACTAGTACCTGAGAAGCAAGAAGAACAGCATCCTTGTGTAGAAAAAGAGTGAAATGGCTAGTAAGATTGAAACTACCAGTGAGCCAGTGACCAGCAGGGATAACTAGTTGAGCTCCACCATCTGATGCATATTTGCTCAGTTGATTTACTGCCTTTTGAAATGCCTTTGTGTTGAGTGTTTTTCCATCTCCAATTCCTCCAAAATCTTTTATGGATGCACTGTGCTTTCTGCAGTTTATTGCTGAGTATGCTAACTCATAAGGGGATCCTCCAAGAATTCTCTCTTTTCTTCCTTCAGCTCCTTCTAGACTTAAAAACACCAGTCCTAGAAGGATTACTAACAGCCAATCTGTCTTCACCATCTGCAAGAATATAATAAAGCAAGATATGGTTTAAAATTTTAGCGAGACAAGATAAAAAAGCACTACGTGGTTTCTTCCCATCTGCTTAAGTCTTAGTGGACAGAGTTATTCAGTACTTCAACTAGTGAAAGAGTGTGTGCAAGCAATTTTTTGGACAATCCCACAAGACAAAAACATTTTGAATTGTTTTTTTTTAAGAGGACTTTGCACTTTACCATAGAAGAAAGAAGTGAAAGTTTTGGTTGTTCACTTGAGCTCTGTAGGACTACTCTATTGTTTAGTGAGAATAGGGTGTATGGAGTTGCTTTTTGGTTAAAATACAAACACAAACAAGTGATTTATATAGGCAAAAAAGTTTGAAAGTATGACTGGTGACACATTTATTTATTTTCTAAATATATACTGTTTATATGGAGCTAAACTTAAGACAATGACATGTTCAATCTCATTTTCTTTCTATATCTAATTTTCTCACGTCATTTGTGACACTAGTAATATTTCATGTATCATGTTTTGATATTTCCCACAACCGTACGTTTGTGGGAAATATTACTTACCATTTGAACAACCTCCTCTTGTCCAATCGTTTCATATGTATAGTTTTGTATCATGCTTTAATATTTATAGCTATTTTGGGTTGATTTAGTTTATGATTACTCAATTTTTTAATTTTATTGCATCGAATTGATCAAACTATTTTTGTGCAACATAGAATCTAAGAAAAAATATTCATCTTTGTCCAACAGTCACAAGAAGTTACTAAGCAGTTGTTTTAAAACCAAAAAATCATTCAACTTTGCCTAACTCCTAAGAATCATACGCAATGACTCATTCATTAGATATATATCAACTTCAACAAGATGAATCGTGTTATAATACAAGAAAATATAACATAGTATTTTCCACCATGTTAGGTTAGGTACATATATTTCCATCATATTAGGTATATATGGATTACATTTTTCATGTTGTTGAAAAGTTAGATGAAATTATAGAAACTAATTAAGCATAAATTTAGCATGTCTAAGTGGCAAAAAATTAAGGGAAGAGAGTCAACAAAGAGTGGTTTAATGAGTTGTTGGTCATTTCCGTTAGAAAGTAGTTAGTGAGGGTCCCAAAAATATCTAAATTTTGTTGAATTATATTAAATTTTAAGGGAATTTATAATATAATAATTAAAATATTAAAAAAGAAAACATATTAATCGTGTTATGAAGTCTTTGTTAACCAACATTGAGCAATTTTTTTGAAGAAGTGGTGGAGTTGAAGACTTTTATGTGAAATAATTTTTTAAAAATTTAATATAGCTTAAAGAATTAGATAAAAATTGGCTATCGGGTGCAATTCTTATGAGTTAAATAACTATTAGGGACTATGTGGTCTTAGTTTATTGAATTTCAAACTCGTAAAATTGCAGCTTAAATTCTAACATATTCATTATTGAACTGCGTTTGAAGAGCAAGTTTTCTTTGTTTTTATTTTTATTTTTCGTGTTGTTAATAACATTATTTTTCTTCTTTTTTTGGGAATTAATCAACGGGTTATAAAAGAAAGTTGGGTTAATCTCCAATACTTCCACCTTGTTACAATATACCCTTTCAATAAAGCCTTAGCTTCTGCAATGTTATTACTGGACTGGTCATAGAAGTTTACAAAGCCTGAATCATACGACCATTAACAATAATAATAATAATAATATGTGAAGCTCTTTTAACAAGTCTATTCTCAACCAATAGCTATCATCTATATAGATCTTTTTCTTTTATTATTTTTATTGTGTCCTATCTTTAGTTACGTTTGGTTGATACCAAACATTTATAGGTTTTTCGAAACACTTCCTTCTATGTGATTTTAGGCCTATCCCGTCCGCTTTTAACACCTTCACTTACGAGGAAGCATTTCTGCAAAACAAGGAGTCGGTTTACTTTGTTGTTCCCAAAAGCATCTCACATGATCCGATTGTGTGCTAATTGGTTCACCATTTAGATAAGATCCCAATTCAGTTGTTGCCTTGAATCTCCCAAGAAAAAAGTCTTTATTAATGCAAAAAATTTAGTACTGATTGAACGTGCAAGCAATGCAAATCTAGCAAATAAAATTACATCTGAAATTTTGTTTCATCCAATGCATACACATATCAAATATATATGCATGATGAAACCAAACTTGTAGTATAACTAATATAAACTTTCACAATTCGAAACATATTGTGGAATTAGTAGAGTGAAATGAAAAACGATGATAATGTTCATGTAGTAATGCTGCCATGGGCTGCATTTGGTCACCTTATTCCATTTTTCAATCTCGCCATAGCCTTAGCGCGAATTGGAGGAATACATGTCTCTTTCATTTCCACTCCGAAAAATATCAAACGACTCACTAAAGTTCCTCCAAACTTAACACACCTCGTAAAACTAGTAGAATTACCAATGCCAGTACTCGATGACGAGACACTTTTGCCCCAGAATGCTGAAGCTTCTGTCGATGTTACAGCTGAAAAAATCCAGTACTTGAAAGCAGCTTATGATCTCCTCCAACAACCCATAGAACATTTCATCGCTGATGAAAAACACGACTGGATCATAGCTGATTTCGCACAACATTGGATAGTCGATATTGCTGAAAATTATGAGATCCCCATAATTTATTACAGCATTTTCACTGCTGCTGCAACGGGTTTCTCAATTGCTGCAACACTTTTAGGAGAAGCGCCTGAAATTTTAACCTCACCGGTATTTCAGATGCTGGATTTTCCGTCTACTTTGGCTTATCGAAAGTACGAGTAGTTAGAGCTTATGTCGATGTGTTAAGTAGAAGATGCCTCAAGTGCTTCATTTGCTCGATCTGAAATACTTTCTGCGTGTAGAGCTATAGTTGTCCGTAGTTGCAAAGAAATTGATGATGTGTATATAGATGCATTACATAAAATTGTCGATAAGCCTGTATTTCCAGTTGGATTATTATTATCTCCGTCACCATCAACAAATTTATTCAGCAGCGATACATCAGTGCAGAGCATTGTCAAATGGCTGGATCAACAGAAGTCCGGATCGATCTTATTCATTGGATTTGGAAGCGAATGTAATCCAAGTAAAGAGGAAGTAGATGAAATAGCTCACGGACTTGAACTCTCCGGGTTACAATTCATATGGATACTACAAAAGCCAAATTGGGGTATTTTTGATGAAGTGGATCCTCTGCCGGAAGGATTCCAGCAGAGGAACGCTGAGAAAGGAGTGGTGCACATTGGATGGGCACCACAGAAGGAGATTCTGTCACATCCTTCAATTGGGGGTAGTCTGGTTCAAGGTGGGTGGGGTTCCGTAACAGAGAGTTTGCAGTACGGGCATGTTGTTGTTGTTCTGGCGTTTGTGTATGATCAAGGGTTTAATGGGAGATTTCTGATGGAAAAGGGATTGGGAATTGAAGTGGAGAGAAATGAAGAAGGCGGATCGTTTACTAGGAATGAGATAGAGAAAACGTTGTATGCTATGGTTTCGAAGGAAGTTGAAGAGTTGAGAGTTCGAACCAAAGAAGCTGCAGCCATTTTTGAAGATCAAAAGTTTCATGATTCATACGTTGCTAGTTTCGTCGAGTATCTGAAGAATGATAGAGAGGAAATATCCACTGATTAAAACCATTAGAGCCATCAATGTTCCATCTTGTTCTACTTAAATTTCAATTAATGCAGTTGAACTTCTGCGGTGAATAAATTGAAATTGCAGAAGGGAACTTTTTGAGAAAATTAATTTGTTTCCTCCAAGTAAATTGATTAGGAAGGTTGCAGAATAAATAAAGTAATTATCCGATCACATTAAGTTTGTAATTAACAGTATGTTTGTTATTGCTGCTAAAAACTGTTTATTTATAGAAATGCTCTTTTTTAAATAGTAGTTTTTTTGAGAAGTGATTTTCAAAAAAGCTCAAAAAAAACAATTTGTGTTTTGACAAATTCATTCGAAAAGTGATTTTGATAAGCAATTTGTGTTTGACTATCTTTTTTTAAAAAGTGCTTTTGAGAGTCAAATTACGAAAAAAGACAAGTATCAATGTGCTTTTAAGATTATTTTGTAAAGAAAAACTATTTTAAATACCTAATAGGAGTACATAACTTTAATTAAATTAAAATGTACATATTCAAATTATTAATCAATATTATACATAGATAAATAAATAAATAAAATATTAATATAATTTTAACATGATGAGTTAAATATAATTAAAAATATCAAGTAAAATAAATTTAAATATTATTATTACCTATTTCTAATAATACGTAAAATAATATATAAAATAATATATAAACATAAATAAAATAAAATTCTTGAATGAAACTTAACAAAACTTATGAAATATGTTAATTAATTAATAAGAGATATATTGATAAATATGTAAATATGTAAATATGTAAGGGATATTTTAGTTTTCAAAATAAGTTTCTACTTCTGATTCTACTTTTTTTAAAAAGCAGAAATTTTAGATTCTTCCCAACAGTAGAAAAACTGCCTTCTTCTTCTATTTAGAAGCACTTTTGAGGGTTTACCAAACATTTAATTTTTCAAAAAAATGTTTTTTTTTTCTAAAATAACACTTCAGGTCTCCCAACAGCAATGTCAAACAGGCTCTACATAAAGTACAGTCAAATCTAAATACTATATCACATTGAATATGATAAATACAATATTTTGAAAAATAAAATAGAGAAATGATTATAATTAATAATAAGGGTAAATTAGGAACTAAGTGTAAAATTATCATTTTATTAAATGGACAAGTATTGTTGGACATCCCAAAATAGTATAGTGGACAACTATTATTGGACGTAAGGAGTATAACACTATTGTTTATTAAAAAAAAACCAATAGTTATTATAGTAAAAATGATGGTTATACATATGGGTGACTCAAAAATCAAAACGGAAAAAGGCCTAAAATACTCCTTAACTATACGAATTGGTACAAAATTACCCTTCTTCTACCTTTCGACGTCAACCTTTTGACTCTATTTGCCCCCATCTTTAACAACCCAAATTCATTAATTAATTTAACTAAATTAAAAACCCATATACCCACCCAAAAAAGCCCCACCCGTTTTTAGCCCAACTTTCATCCCCAAACCTTATAACCTAAAAATAACATACGCTCTTTGTAACCATAAAGTCTTTCAGCAGATCGACTCCTGCAATAGAAAAACTTGTTTGTATATTATGCAACATACAACAAACAAGAACACCTAGCCACCTAGAGTCTTCCTTCTTTCTTTTTCTGTTTTCTACATACATGCCCTTAAATCGCAAGAATTCTTTTTTCTTCAAGCAGGAAACAAATGTGATTGCATTTTCTGTAATGTCAGATGCAAGACAATCTTCCTGGACCTCATGTAAGTGCAACAACAAGAAGCTAACGCTTAATTTGATCAAGTCTTTAGCTGAGTCAGTAAATGAAAAGATTTCAACCTATAATCAGTGTTGCTAACGTAACTTTACAACAGCAACAACTACGCCGCCTTAATCTCCAAAAAAGTGAGGACCGGCTACATGATTCCTCACTGTCCATATCACACCATTTGATCTCATCTCAAGTTAATATTATAAAAATAAAATAAAAAGTGAGTACTAGTTTCATTGTATGTTGAGTATAAAAAGTTGATCCATGCCACAATGTTCTCTCCAGACACTGGGCAGAATGTGAGTCCTCTAACAATTAGAATAGGAAAATGTTCTCTCCAGACACTGGGCAGCACAAAAGGAAAGAACAAATCATCATTCAATTCATGACCTATCAATGGACAACATATAAGAAGAAAGATCATAGAAGACAATAAATAAAGAAGATATCAGCTTTAACGGAAGAGATATTCAGGAGATAAGTATGTAGGAAATTACAGCACCAAATGATTTGGATTTGGAGCGTATGTTATTTTTAGGTTTAAAAGATTTGGGTTAAAAACGAGTCGGGCTTTTTTGAGTGGGTATGTGGGTTTTTTAATTAGTTAAATTAATTATTAGGTATCCAATAAAATAGTGACACATCATTAATGAATTTGAGTTGTTAAAGATGAAGGTAAAATATAACCAAAAGGTTGACGTCAAGGGCATTTTAGGCCCGAAAGGTAGAAGAAGGGTAATTTTATACCAATTCGCATAGTTGAGGTGTATTTTAGGTCCTTTTCCAAAATCAAAATTATGGTGCCTCAAAAAAATTCAAAATGAGTAGTATAAAATTTATGTTTTAATTTAACTGGAAATAATATTGAAGATTGTAAAAAAGATACATATTCTATATTTTAAAAAAAAAACATCTACTTTCTATCAGAAATATTTTAGAACTTTGAATTAAATAATATAAATATTTAAATTAATAAAAAAAAATTTACAACAAAATCTAAAGTAATATATTGCAAACAAATGACTAACATCTCATTAACAAAAAAATTATCCTTACTTTTAAATAATAATATTACTATATGAAGTTAAAAAAAATTATGTCTTTAAAGCATACTACACTCAAAACAAGTAAGGTATAAAAACAAAAAAGGGGCCTCTAAATTATTATTATTATTATGTGTATGTGAATATATTTAAGTTTTTTTGTTGAAATTTGAGTTTAGACCATTAATTTTATTGAGATGTTCTTAAATACACATCTAATATATATACACAAAAGAGAATTTTAATTTGTCCACGTGGCGCAATAAGAAACAAGAAATTCTTTAAATCAGATTAGATGTTTTTCCAGTCCAACTGCTCCATTCTCAAACAGCAATATGTTGTATCAGTCTACTCCTATACACTCCGTTTCTTCATCATTCTAGTGTGTTTGTAAGACAACACACTAAAATATGAGATTTTGAATAACTTACACTTGGATTAAGACTCTGCATTTTCAACGGAAAAAAAGAAAAGAAAAAAAAGTTATTGCCATTTCCTCTTTCATAAAAATTGTTTCTCTTTCTATCTTTATTTATATGTCAATGACCAATATCAACTGGCATATTTTTTTCCTGTATATAAATGTCTTTCGCCAAGAATATATTTTACTAACTCTCATAACTTTTTCTGTAAATAAATGTGTTTCGGCGAGAATAAAAATATTATATTTTATATTATCTGATCCCTATGCTTATTCTCTTAATGTCGCGCCCCATTTTTTCGCAAAAATAATTTTGTGCATGACCTAACAACTTTTTTTTAGGTTTATTTTAAAAAGAAGAGTCGCCACCTAACGAATTAAAGGGGCGTTAGGGCACCTAACTAACCTAACTAATCTTATAAATAACTAAGGTTAGCGAAACCAGCTATTCAGATAAGGGTTCAAATTACCTCAATAATTAATTAATATATTGTTATGTTGCTTGTTTGCATGTTTGGTTGCGCACACACTTTTGCCTAGACCTTTCACAATTACTTGTGTTTTTCAAGCATGCTAAACAACTAACATCTAGAGGCCAATATGAGACTCTATGTGCTAAATGTTCGTCCAATTAGTTTTGCTTGACGTTTAGAGGCCTAATTAGGTAACTTTTATTTGTTTATGTCTAAAACTTACCTTAATAGAACTCCAATGCCTCTTGGACATTAAGTGGGGACGCAAGTCACATTTTAGGCTATTCGTTATGCATGTGGAAAGGGGGTAGGGGTAGTTAGGGCCCTATCAGACATGATGGAAATTGACTCGAGCATAAAAATAACAAAACGCTGATTTTGTCTTCCGATTAATAAGTCGAGCACTGATCCGATAACTATTAAATAAGCGGAGTTGACGTTTCCCTTCTTATTTGTTTATAATTATGATTGCTTGGGGTAGTTTAAAAACTAAAATCAATTTTTTCTTTTATCTACTTGTGTATTTTCTGTCTTCTCGCTTATCTTCTCTAATTGTTTTCATGTTAAATATTTGTATTAAATGTTTAGTGTTTATTTACTTTATCACTTAGTCCGAATTACTTAGCTAATAAATGAATAAATAGAGTCATTATTTGTCAAAGTGTAACTCCCATATAAATTATGAGTTACGGGTGGGACCCACAATTGTGGACCTCGAGGAGTGCTTAACACCTTCTCATTGAGGTAATTTGTACCCTTATCTGAATCACTGATTTCGCTGACCTTAGTTAATTATAAGAATATTTAGTTTAGTTAGGTGCCCTAACGCGCCTTTAATTTGTTAGGTGACGACTCTTCTTTTAAGATAAACATAAAAGAATTGTTAGGTCGTGCACAAAATCCATTTTGAGAAAAATGGGGCGTGACAGAATGACGACTCCACTGGAGTGCCGAGAGAGATGGATAATTTGGCCAAATTGCGCATGTTAGCCACCCCTTTCTCTAACTCCATAATTTTGTGTTTAAGTCTGAGAACCAGATCATTTGAGTGTTGTCCTCCCTCGGAAGTTTCAACCCTTTCATTGGTAGTATTGTTATCAACCATTTTTCCTTTTTCTTTGAATTGGTGGAGGATTATTCTGAAAGGTGGATTGATTTGTGGCAGGCTGGTTATCCATGTTTATCTCCAAAAAGGGATTGATAGAGAGTAACAACTAAGCCCACTCGCGCATATCACATATCTCTTCTTTTAACTCCCTTGTTTTCTGCTCCAATCTTAAGACCAATTACTCGTTCGTAGGATATTCCTCT